TGTGTCCCTGAGTGGGCTCCTGTGGGCTGTGGTACACAGGGAAGGCTCCACACAGCTGTTGTGGGACCTGGCTGTGCACGGCACTGTGGGTTTGGGTGTGAAGCAGAGCATCCGTTTCAAACCCAAGGCTTCTTCTTATTCACTGAGTATCATCCTTCTTCACATGACACACTCGACTGCCAAAAGCAGTCTCAAAAACTGATGCTCACCCTCTCCCATTGGATAATGTTAGTAATCCAGTCAACCTCTCAGAAATTGGTGTATCATCAGCCAGATGAAGCTTTCATGCAGGCTGCCTGGCCAGGCAGCAGCCTGCTCTGGGAGCAGTGAGGCTCCTGCAGTGCATGGGCTCAGGGTTTCACTGGGTGAGCTGTTCATCTGGATCCTGTTCATCTTCCCTTCAAATAAGGGAATCTGAGGAGTTTGTCTCCGATTTCTCCAGTGACACCGAGTTATGTAAACACTCTTGCTGCCGTTAACGGCTCGCCATTTTTGCTGTTTGAAACATAATCAGTTTGTATAACAATATGGACTGATTTGGGTATCCAGTCCAACACGCACTGATTGCCTTCTGTCTAAACATTTTAGTGCTGTAAATTTATGGGGACTCTGCTAGCCTCTCCAAAAGACCTCTCAGAATCACAGCAGTTTATAATGATACCACAATGTGATTCAGCATTTCCAAGAATTACTTTTGTTTTCTTTAGAACAGAAAGGGTTTTTCTTTTTTTTAAGGGTGGGTTTTTTTCTGTTTCTGACAAAACAGAAATATTTCTAGCTATTGTATTTTAAAATAAGCATTCTCCTTTTTTATTTTGTTTTGATTTGTTTCCCCTAAGTGTTGGCCTGACCCTCTGACTTCAGCAGGAGCCTGGAAAGGGTGTCTTAGTACCTTGCTCAGAAGACTGCAAGCACCCTGCTCAGAGCTACATGAGTGCCCAGCCAGGTCCTGCCACCGTGCCTCAAAACCCAGCCTCAGACACTGGGGAATGTGTGCCTTGGCAAACCTGAGCACAGAGGAAACTATCAAACATTCAGAGCAATTGTTGACAATTTCCAGTCACCACTAATTGCTTGGGGCTTTCTTGGACCCCTGCCACATCTATACCTTTGTGTCCTTAATCACTACGCACCCTTTCGATATTATGTCACACCTGGGACATTGGATAATTTATCACTTGCAGACGGATTAGCATCACAGCTCGCTTAGATAAATTTTACTTAGGCCTCAGTCCCAGAGGCCCTTCTTTTATAGTGCAGTTTTATCCATTAAAATTATGACTTCCAAAATTCTGTTGTATTTTATGGCTTCCATGAGATATTTATGACTGTTACCGTTTAAGTGGACATTTCTAGAGATTTACTGCAGAAATAATTCAGGCAAATAGCTCAGAAGAGGTACTGCCAATAGCTTACAGTTTAGGTTTGGTGTTGTTTAAAGACATGCTGTTTTCAGTGTGCATGCAAGTATGGACCCTTAATGCATAATACTGAAATGCCACTGAATATGTATTCAAAAAGCCCTTTCCATATGGACTACTTCTAGACAAAATCCAAACACTTAGTTTTAATCTTCCAAACTCCCTCCTTCCCCAAAGCTGCTCATAGTCTTTGCTTTTCTGCAAAGTGTGAGAGATGAAAGCAGAGGCCAATTAAAAAGAACTTGTAGAGTCAGGCACTTCCACCGGCTCTGTGAGTGGGACATATGAGAGGTGTTTCTCTTTTCCTAGTTGCTTGGTTTGGTCCTAATTGTGATAATGCTATGGGTGGCCAGGGGCCTGAAGGACAGAGCTCAGGTTGCAGCTGGACAGAGCCAGTGAAGTATTGACTTGCTGCGAGGGGAAAGTTGATCTCTGCCCCTTTGATCCTTTCAGGACTAGAACTGGTCCTCCATTCTATGCTGTGGAAAGTTTGAGGATTAAGAAAGCAGCCTCCATGGTTCACAGCCCGTCTCTGTGAGAAGCGACTGATGCTGTCAGGCAACTCTGCAATACATTTCCCAGCCTTTTTCTCCCTGAGGTGAGTGTGAAGGCTTTTACAGCACTGCAGCACAGGAGCAGCAAGCACTCTTGTTATCATGCCAGCTTCCACACTTCCAGCATGCTCCTATTTTAAAACTTTCAGCATCCTGATGCCTTGATGAAACTGCTCTGTTGGGCAGCTGAGGAACCCCATGGAAGATCTCCAAGCTCCTCACTGTTAATGACACACCAGGTGACAAAATTGCTGAGCCCAATGGGGCACAGAGCAGCAGGAGATTGTTCACAAAGTGCCTCACTCCCGTAGATTTTAGGTAAAAATAACACTTATCCAACTAGGCTTGCAATGCATACTTAGAATTAGAAATCAGATTCTTAAGACTTCTGAAATTTGACACAAATGACTCTTCAAAACATGCATCATCAATAATTTCCACTAATAAAGCTAATGTGATTCAAGACAAAAGATCAAATCCCTCACTGCAGCATCATAATATTACCCCAATGAGTCTACTTGTATGTGTGAAAGGCATGAACATGGCCCTCACAAATGTTTAAAGTAACTGATGCCAAGAGGACTTATCTGTTTGCAGAAGCAAATTCATAAGAAGTGACAGGAGGAAGACAGCCAGATTTAACTGTCAGTTAAAGGTAGCATGTCTTCATCTGTCTGGAAGAGAGATAAGTGTAGCTCTGGGAAGATATCCTGACTGCACATAGCATCAGCTGCAGCTTACTAATGGCTCACTTTGGTCCTAGCATCCCTGCCTCTGTCAAGGAACAGCAGAGGTTGCTGCAGAAAGAGAAGGGGTTTAAATTCAAATAATGTGATTTAAGATTTGGACTGACCTTTACACATAGCAAATTTCATCCTTTGAGTTTCTTTCCTCCCCTTTCCTCCCCTCTCTGCCCCCAAGTATGCTCTTTTTTCCTTCACTGCTCTCCCCTGCTGAATTCACTCTATAGAGTTTTGTAACAGAACTGAAAAAAACAAGAAACAGACACACTATTGTATGCTCAAGTTCATGCAGGACTCTAAAACTAATTTTTGTTCTGGCAAATCTCATGCAGCATTGACTGCTCTGCTGGCTACTTCATTCATCATATGGAAAATGCATTTTAGTGACTACCAATTACAAGAGCCAAACAGTGGCTTTGTCAGTACTACATGGTAACCATTACCTTTGTAATTGCGTAGTGACTGATGTTCAGTATGATGTAATGACAGGTTAAATAAATGCATACTAATTTGTCCTGCTAAAAGAAAGGAACGCCAGCACATTAACACAATTGCAAGTTATTTCATATGATTATACATGGAGTAAAGGTATGCATTTATCATATAAAATGTGTGTAGCTGCTATGTTTCAACTTCTAAAAATTCTTTTTCACCTTTAGAATGCTTAGAGATGTATAATCTCTCTTCACCGTTGTTAATAGCTTGCAGAAGAAACATTTCAAAATGTGTGATATATGTTAGTGTTGGAGTTCTTATAGGACCTGAAATAGGTTCCTTCTTTCTTTGGTAAAATGTTATCTTAGAAATTTTTCCTTTATTTATTGAAAAGCCAGTTATTAAATATAGTTTTATAACTACTTAAAGCAATGCTGGCCTAAATTTCAGATGGTATATGTTGCCATGTACTAAAGGAAAAAAATATTAGAAAATTATTGTGAGGTCAGTTATTTACAAATATATACCTCATATAGTTGAAGAAAAAGATTTCTGAGAGATAACTTGATGTGAAAAATAATTGGAAGGCTGGGAATTATTCTAAGTGAAGTTTCATGGGTAGAGAAATAGAAGTAAAATTAATGGCACAAAACAAAAAATAATTAATTATGTTGGGAATAAAACTTGGAGTTTTTTAGTTCTCTACAGAGAGCAGTAACTCAGGAAACCAAATGAAGAGCACAGGAGTTACCCTGAGCCAGAAAGGCAGATCCAGAGGAGAAGGAAATTGGGCAATTTGAAAACTTTTGTGCCAGGAAAATCCATGCCTGAAATCTTTTAGATCCTTTCCCCCACACAATTTCTTACCTTTCCCCCCACATTTTAAATTCACCTTGCAAATTTTTCTCTTCTCTCTAAAACTGATGTGTCTTTCTTCCTGGTCTCCAGATTACAGGTCTCCTAAGTGTTTTAACATTTCATGCTCTTACTATAGGATGTCTTCTCTTTCCTTGATATAGCCTGGTCTTGCTTTGCAATTCACAGACCTTTCAAGCTACCAGCAAGTTCTGGGGTAAGTAATAGTTTCTAGAGGAAAAAGATTACTTTTCACTATGTGAAGAATTTCACAATCATCTAGAATTGTAATTTGGCTTTTAAGTGTTCAGTATGCAAATCTTCTGTGGAAATTTTCTTGCTGGCAAATACAGTGATTTTTGGGACTGTTTCCATTAGTTGTGGTCATAATTCCAATATCAGTTCTGTAATACAGGTGAGGTTTTGACTAGATACAATTCCTACACACAAAGAATGGCTCAGGCTTTGACAATGGTTGGAAGTATTTCCTCTCTGTTTGGAAGTCAGCAATATTGCCATTTTGGCAGAAAGAGTGCCCAAACTGAAAAGTTATATTCCTGCTGTAGCCTTATCTTCTTATACCTCACAGAGGTAGGCTTTATAATTTCAGGCTGGATATGTAAAAGTGAGGAGACTAAATGTGGTTTTATGCCAAATTAAGGAACAGAAGTGATAGGAAAAAATACAAAAGCATTCTGGCTTGTGTTTCTCGTCTGCATGGCAAACACAATGAAACTAAATTCTTTGGAAAGTGCCAAAATGCTCCTGTTGCACAGAAGGGCTTGTGGTGTGGGGCATCCAAGTACCTCTGCAGGACAAGCTGTGTGAAAGCAGCATCCATCAGGCTGGTCTGTGGAGGGGTAGCTCCAGTGGGATCAGCCTTCTGGTACCACCTCTGCTGCTACTGTGATCCTGAAAGACTGGCTTCACACACAGGTGTGAGATGTAGCACTAACTGTGATAGAAATGTAGTGAGGAGGGGTAAGGGAACAGAGGCCAGGAGGCAGAGGACCAAGGAGGAGAAGCTGCTCCTGTAAAGAGGTGGGTACCATGTCATCATCCTGTGGTTTCTATTCCTAATTTCTGGCACTAATTTCTTAAAATTAGAAAATTACTTTGCCTTGTCATACTGGGTACAGAAATACTCTTTTGAACGTCTTTATGAAGACTCATGAACTTTGGGAATTTTGTCAATTCATGCATTCTCTCAGCTATCTTTGACTAAAACACAAGCTCTGTAAGGTTGCATAATTGCAGCCAGTCATTCAGCAATACTTTTTTCTCTAACTTCAGGTTACTGTCATGCAATTACGATATAATTACATGGTTATTTCACCATATAAAAGAAAGTAAACCACAAAGATTCTGAGCTTGCTTCACAGGCCCTGTTTAGCTTTAAGCAGAAGTATAACCTTAGAAAAAGTCACTGTGGCTTTCCTTGGACTTGATGCTAAACAGGGCTGGGGCAAAACAATGTGCAATGTGCCAAATTTCTGAACTGCCTTTGAGTTTAATATATAAATTCAGCCTCATTTTGGAGTTTTAGCTTACTTGAATGCATTGATCTCAATACACAGATGTGAGTACAATTTGGTCCACTTCCAATTAGAAAAAACAGGGGGACAAGAGATGAGAAAAAAAACAACAGTAGAAAGTCTATAGTTTTGACTATCCATGTCTATGTATGTGTGCATTTCTCAATTTAGCTAGACTTCTATTTAAATTTCTTCATCATTGAAATAAAATGTGTTTAAATTACAGAGGGAAAGCATCCCCAAGCTTGCTACTGGCTCTCTGAGTGCTGCAAGTGCCATTTTCCAGAAAGTGCACCATGCCTGAAGATGCTCAGACACCACACATGCTCCTGGTGCTGCAGGGTGCTTAGGGTTTCAGTAACAGGTGTGTTGGGCTCCACAGTTCTTCTGAACCAGTCTTACTTTGTCTGCAAGGAATTGAACCAAATGTTTTTTGTTATGTTGGGCTGGGATAGGCAGTAGGGTTTGGGGCACTATCTCTGTCCCTGGAGTAGAGAAGGTACAGGCAGCTGCATGCCAAACTATTTCCCACTGCCTACCTATGTAGCAGTAGATATTTTTAAATAACCAAGTAGCATTACCTATGTATAGGTAATGCTACTTGGTTATTTAAAAATATCTGGTTGAACTAAATTCTCACCATTAAGTTACATCTGTGGAAAGTAAAGGTAAGAATTGAGAAGCAGGCAAGGGCCAAGAGTAAGAAGAACAGAGTACAATAGGACACTTGAAGAGCAGGCCACATAAGATATTGTCATGATGTGAACAGATGAACCTTGTCCTTCCTGTCATTGAAGGAAACAATTCCTTTCTTAGCTGCTTAGAGTGTCCTCTAATTTTGCCATTGGGCAGTGACCTTCAAACTACTTATCACAGAATGACAGAAACATTAAGGCTGGAAAAGACCTTTGAGACCAAGTTCAGCAGTCAGCCTAACACTGCCAGGTGCACCACTAAGCACCACATCTGCCTGTCCCTTTCTTTGAGGTGCCAATCTATTGCCTCTGCTTTCTTGGGGAGCAGACAGGTACAGACACTTCCCTTTTGATCCACGAGTATCAGAGCAAGTGGGAATGTCAAGCTGGGTTGAGGGAATTCTGTTCCCTGCCATTTTAATATTTTTTTATCATTAATACCCCACTTCATTGACATTTGAAATAAGGAGAGATGTAAAACATGAATCTATTAATGATGCCCAGCAGAACATCACTCAGATTTGAGGCTCTTGTAAAAAGGGGGGATTTACCTTTTGGAGTCACAGGAGACCATTAAAATTCTATTATGAACAAGAAACAAAATACAAGTATTGATATTTGCTTTTATTTTCTGAGTTCTGCAGATTTGGAAATAAAATGTTATTTATGATAAAACATTATTCTCAAGATAATTGTGGTTCACAGGAGGAATTTAAATTTGCAGTCTGTACACTGCTGTCTTGATACAGTCTCTGGAGGCTGAATGTGTGGGCAGATGCGAGTATAGCAAGTGACCTGAGGAAACTGTCTCCCAGCTGCTCTGGAGAAACAACTTCTGACAGGCCAGTAGGAGTCCATGGCATTTTAAGCCATCACAGACTGGGGCTTATGCTTCTTGCTCATGACATTTCTGTGCCAATGGTCCCAGCTGGGAGATGTGAAACAAACAAGAAAGGATGCTCCTTCCCAGGATACTCAGGTGAGCTTTCCTTACTACAGGCTATTATGGATGGCAAATGCTTACCAGTCCAGGGACAAAGCTATGGAAGAGAAGTTCCACAATGACTCAGAGTCATGAAAAGCAGGTAGATTATTTCTATATTATCTCAGGAAGTCCCTAAGCCACAAATTACTGAAAAGTCCTGAGAACACTCCAGGGAAATACTTCTGGAGCCTTGTGTCACTACATTGCACCACCATTCGTGGTGACAGTCTGCTGGTTTGGATGAACCTTCGACTCAGTATGGCCATTATTTGGTTCTTATGTCCTTGCATTTACCAACAGCACTTTCAGAGAGTTCTTGGTGGGGTTTGTTTAAACTATTAACAATTTTGAGAAAAACTGTTAATACTATTCCACCCTGCATTGAGTTGAGACTTGAAAGAACATTCAAGAAAAAGTTCAGAAATACCATTTTGAATGGGAATTGTAAGCAAGATTTCCTGACTCAGTTTTAAAATTGAATGTATATGCTGTTAAGATCCCTTACATTTTTTTTTCCACAGATTTCAGTAGATAGGACTATTCAAAAGGGAAAACTGTTGGGAAAGAAAGCACCAAAACAGTCTAGAAAGACCAAAAGTGGCTTGTGGCCTTAATAAGTATAGCCCTTCTCTCCCAAGGGAACATGTCACTCTGGTCTCTCTTGCTTGAGAAAACCTCAAGCAGTATTTTATACGTTAGGGCAGTATTTCAAAGCAACCTCTCTTTTCTCCTGACATTCTCATCTTTAAAATAAATGAGACTTCATGGCTATTTTTTTTTTCCTAGCAACAGCAGCTGATGTGAATAATTTAGGATGGCACTGAAGACTTCCACCAAAATTGGAGAAGGGCAAAGAACATGCAGGGAGCAGTAGGATCTCTTGGTTTTTACTGATTAGTTAGAGTTGAATGGGACCATAAAGAAAAGTAATTTTATTAGATGTCATCATTCTGCTGTGATCCTCACTTTAGACTGAAATCAATCTGCACAATCCCAAAATTATGGTGATCACACATTAGTGGCAATAAGAAGCATGAAGTTGTCTTTTATTTCTCCTGTATGTTAGAGAAATTATTCCCCACCTTTTGTGTTTCACAGACATTTTTTCACTTCTTCTCTCAGATTTTGTACAGTGGCATTGAAAGTGAATGGCTTCTCCACTACCATCAATCCTCTGCTCCTGCCTTGTGCTACATTAAATCAAAGTGCATAAAACAGTACAGCAATTTTCTCCCAGGTCTGGGATCTTCAGTGTTACCCTGAAGTGGGGAGGAGTGAGGGTGATGGCTGGAAGGAGAAAGAATGAGGTGAGATAAATTCGAATGCCGCACTGGAGCCCAAAAGGAACTGTAAAATTGTGGTCACTTAAAAGTGCAAATCTGGTTTATTTTTCAAGTATTAAAAACAGACATTGCCTTTGGCAGCATTTTGGAGAAATGTGTCTTTGCAAATTTCCTGACTGAACCAAAGAATTATTCAACATTACTTAAAGACTCGAAGCTATGGTCTAAATAGCAATTAGCATACTTGTTATTGGCATTGATGCCTTCCTCTGCAGAAAGCAGATGTAACAGTAAATATGAAAGTGATAAAAAATTTTCTCTTTTCAGCAGTCCTGCAAGTCATTTGGGTTGGCTTTTTTGGGTTTTTTTTTTTGGTTTTGTTTTTTTTTTTACCATCATGTCATTCTCTCTTCAGAATTCTATTAACATTACTCATTCAAATACAGAAGGACGAAATTAGCCAGAGATGCAGGAGCATTGCAGCACAGTTGGCGTGGCAGAAAGCTATTGAGATCAAACAATGATGATGGTGATCCATAAAGGATGTTCTGTAATCCCAAGGAGAAATGAATTGGTGGAAGCAATGAACCTCATGGATGTTTTTAGTGATGGCAATGGCTGGCATTCAGAGTATTTAGCATTTGGCAGGGATGAACAGCCAGCCCAGGCACCAGAGAAATTTGGAACCATCTGAGATCTCTTCAGAGTTAACAATTTACTTCTGTTCCTTTTATATGAAGTTGACAATCTGGAATCCATGGCTTGCCTGGTGATTAGCTGTCCTAAAGAAGGGAAATGAATCAGCCCCTTTCTATGATGCGGTGTTTTCTTACATTAAATATGGTCTGTCCTGTGGCTCTTTGTTTCAGACAGTGCTTTGGCCTAGCATTCATCTTCTCAAACCTATACCATAACTCAGACATATGTCTCAGGAGCCTTACCCTGAAACTCTGGGGGTAAGAAACAAAAAAACCAAAACAAAGAGGAAAAAATTTATTTATGGAAGGAATCCTCTGAATCTTAGAATTCCTCACTGTAGAAGTCTAAGATCAGAAAATTATATGTTATTCCAATTTAAAGAAATTAAAATCTTAAATATTCTCACAGCAAGAATTTAGCAATTAATGAAATTCATTATGAAATAAACAAAAAGGTCTGAAGCATCAAATAATATTCAGCTTTGTGAGAAGCAACCAACAGAAGGGGTGGCCAGAGTATGCTGACCATTCTTTGCTGACCATTCAAGGTTTTTGAAGATATTTTTCTCCTACATAGAATGAAAACCAAATAATCTGGAAAGTAAGATATATCAAAACAGTAAAAGAAATATTCTGGAAAGTGATCTATAGCAAATATTTGCTTTCAGGGAAAAAATTATTGATCTAATTGTTTTCATGTGCAAAATAGTCATGTCTTTCCAATGTCTACTCAATTTAGAGTAGATTTTTCAGGAGGAAACATCTTAGAACAGGCAGGAAATTATGTCTTCCATCCTGGTACCTAAAACAGTGAAAACAAGTAATGAGGGGTGGGAGAGAGAGAGAAAGAGGAATTTATTTAATCTGCTTCAGAGGCCTACCAAATAGATGCCTTCATGTGAACTAGTGGCTCCCTTTATAATCAGACCTGGGTTTAGGCAGAAAGTGGATGTCTCTGGGGTGCAATTAGCTTGTCATAATTGTGCCTCTGTGTCAGAATACTTGCCTTAGGATCCATGTCCACTCTTCAAAAGTGATGCGGCACTGAGATCCCAGTGTTAATGTTCAATATGTAGTTACATACCTGAAGTCTGGATTTATTTCAAGTCCTCTATTACCCTAGTTCATGCACAAAAATGTCTGAATTCTGAAATCTTTCTCATTCCCCACCAGAGAGAGAAAAATGAATTTTGCTGGGTCTTCATCAATTAGAGAGAATGCACAAATTATCAATTCACATGGAGGCACCTGCTGAACAAACATATAAACCCAACCAGGCATTCAAGGTCTAAAATTACTCCTTCAAACCTCTATAGGAAAAAAATTACCTTTCATGAACACTTTACTGATGCCACTATTACTCCAAAAAGGCACCAACGAAAGAGAAAGATTTCGTCAAATCTTCAGCTTTGTGAATATTTTCCAGCTAGATTGCTTTAAAAATATATGTCTATGAATTGAAAAAATTCCACTCACAAAATCAGAAGCTGTCCATTTAAATACAGCATAAAGTAGTTCATTCCATCACTGGGGGGAAGTGTAACATGTGTAGGCAGAGCTGGGAAGGCAACCATGCTGTTCCCCCTGTGGCATTTTTCCCATCCACATGGGAACACCTTTAAGAGGGCTGCCTTTCTCCAGTGCTGGGAAAGGAGATCATGCCAATGCAAAGACTGTTCAAAATAAATGTACTACACAGTTCTGCAGAAAGTGTCTTCTTTGCTAATGCTTGCCTACTTCTTCAGTCATGAAGAAAATAAGAGATAAAATATATTACAGCCCTTATTTTATTGCCTTTGCAAGTGGTATTTTTCTGTTTGGTAAAAATGTGTGTTATTGTTTATTTTTAAATTCCTCTGCCAGGCTGACATCATGCTCTGCACATTATGAGAAAAAAATACTGCAGGGATTTTTCTTTTTTTTCTTACTTTCCAGAGAATGTAGTGTTGCAACTACTGGCAAGTTGCATAGACAAACAGTGAACGGATGATACTGCATTTAACTCCTCACTGGACCATTTATCTCCACAAAACAGAATTGTTCTTTTTTCTTAAAAGACACTGTTTTCAAAGGTACCAGGCAGCCAGAAATCTGGCCTACACTTGAAATACCAGCTCCTAAAATACCATCTTTTCATGTGTATGCTATCAAGCCCCCATGTTTTTCCAATTCAGCCTCAGAGAATAAATAAAATATGAAATATTTAGCTCATAACTAATTCTCCTACTCAACTACTCCCTTCATTTGCTCTGGCCTCTCCCTCTATTCCAGGTACTTTCTCCTGACCCTGGATTCCCACAGTCCTGTCTTGCTATTTCTCTTGTCCCCCACCATGCCTTTTCAGCTTTTCTTTAATTAGAAAAGTTGATAGTAAAGTTACTTTGTTGGGGGGTGTTTCCTCATTTCAATGTGGATTTGAAAACAGAGTAACTTTTACTCTGAATGGCTTTTGTTCATACCAAGGAATTTGAAGGAAGAAGGAATGAAAGATTTATTTTCTTTTTGTCAGTAATTTGTAGTAATGTAGTCTTTGATCACAACAAATCCCTCTTTGGGTTGGTCCTTGTGGCTTACTTAGAAAAGGAAGTATTTTCCACTTCAGATGCTGACATTTGCCTTGGTGGGTTACCTGCGCCAAGCCATAATCTGCTGGGACTAGTACAAATATAATGAAGTCCTTAGGAGTGTGCGCTCCACTTCATGATAGCTCAATTCATGATGGTTTTTCTGTCATGATGCACCAAAGTGTAAATAGGAGACAAATACCCAAAGCACTTGAAAGGAAAAAGTGGTGGGGACAGGGCCAGTAACAGAAACAACATCTCAGGCTTGATCTCATCCTACATTGTTGGGATGATGTCCTGGTTCTTGCCAGGACAGGATTAACTTCTGTGGTAGCCAGGAGGATTTCATGGCCAGGACCTGGAGGTTATTCTATACCACATCTTGTATTTTTCCAGTAAGGGGGAGTGGGTCCCTTCTGGTGGAGTAACCCTAGTGGGAAGTGAGCAGTCAGGTAGTGCTGCTTCCTTCTGTTACTGATATTGCAGCTGTTATGGTTTGTTTTTCTTGATCCATTGCAGATTCCAGTAAGTTGTTCTTATCTCAACCTGTGATCTTCACCTTTTCTGCCTCAAATTCTCCTCTCTACCCTGCCACATGGGGAGGCAGCAGTGAGAGAGCAGCACCTGGTTTGGAGTGCTTCAGTGGGAGCACTAAATAGGGGAATACCATTCCTAAACCATGACAGATGTTTCCAACGTTGAGAAAACAGGAAGCAAAATACCTGAGGCTTCGATAAAAATTTGATTATACCTCCTCTACCCTGCCCACTCTGACATCAGTTGTCCACTACTGTTTTTCTGTCCTCTACTGTTTTTACTGTTTTTTGCAGAAGTGACTGCAACACAGACCAAGGGAGAGAAGATTTGCTCCTCCTGCTTTCAATGTCTCCATTTATCCCTTTAAGGAAGGCTTTAGAAGGAAACTTACTAGGTTGGACCAAGAAACCAGACCTTGCAATCAGCTCCACAGTCAGTGAGGCATTGCACAGGCCAAGAGGCTGGGGAGGGAACTTCTAACGACCTGGCTGCGGACCAAGATCAAAAGACATTTACCTTTTATTTCATGTGACATGAAGCTAATGCAATGTTTTAGAGGTGATATTGAACCAAAACATTGTCCCTGAGCCCCATTTGAGAATACAAGAGTCAGAACCCAAAGTCAGAATTAAGCTCTGAAATTTATGGCCGTTTTGTATTGGTGTGCTGGAGTGAACAAAAATCCCAGCTCACTGAGTGTTGGAGGAGAGTTATCTCTCAGATCAAGACCTTGACTCTGCATCTTGCATGTAGCTCAAAGTTTGCTTGTTCACTTCTCATGAGAGTCATCTTGGCTCTGTCTGTATTGATAAATTAAAGGTGCTTGGAATAGTTCTCTGGCACAGAGCCCAACCCACATGTGAGAGCTTGTGTCCACATCATTAACTGCTCTTGCCCTCCAGAACGGGATGACTGCATCCCAAACGGTCTGTTTGAAATAATCCTTGGCCTGCTGAGGGAGCATGTGCACAGCCCACCCTTGGAAAAGCGCCTGGATAACCCCACCTGCTAAGATAAGCGTGTGGCTGTAAACAGCATGTCTGGATCAAATACACAAAACCACCCCAAAACTCACAGTGTTAAAGAGGTAGATGACCATAAGCCAGAGTAAATAGCAAAGAAAGAATTACATCAACTTTTGAAACAAAAAAGAAAATATAAAAGAAGGATCTCCATTTGTAACGGTGGGAGGAGATCGTGATGTGAAAACAGCGATAGTCAAAACCTGATGTTCCCCCTGCAGAGACACCCTGCAGCACCCCGACCTCTGACAGGCACAGCAGAGGCAGCCCTCCATGGAGCAGTCAGCACCTGGAGAACAGACAGGAGGCATGGGAGCACACCCCAGTGATGAGCCCTGACCTGTGGAGGTATCAAAGGCTGCAGGAAGCAGCAGGGGAAACTGGACAGCTGGAGATCCCCCATGACTGAGTGTGTGCGTGAGTTTAAAGCTGCTTGGGGTTAGGCCTGTAAGAGTGTTGAGAGGTTTGTAGGTGTTTATTAACATGTTACAAATGTGATTCATCTGTTATGTTATTGATATTTTTCTCATGAGAGGGCCAGTGTCCTATCTGCAACATGTACTTCAGCTGCTCCTTTGGAGGTGTTCTCCCACTAAATGCCAGGAAATAAGCAGTGTCTGTAAGAGTAAGGTAAGACCTGGTACAAATATAAGAAAATCTGGATCCCCCCTTTTTTAGGCGAAATGCAGCAAATGTGGAAAAAAGCACATCATCAGCTGGTGAGCAGTTTGAGAGAATTATGTGCAGTAATCCCTTACCTTTGTGACTTCACCAGGTCTTTAATCCTTCTTTATTTATGTATGTTAACGTTAAACTTTTGAGTGTGAACCTTGGTGTGATGGTGGCTAGAAGGTCACACCTATATCTCCACAAGATTTTGTAGTCAGTGCTTGCACAATCTGTGCATGGAATTCAATCTGATTGTGGTGACACACACACAGAGCCCCTGTAATACTGGTAAGAGCAATTTTCATGCAAGCTACTTATGGTGAGCTACTCAGCTCACCTTGCTTTGGCACCTGATTCAGTGCTCAGTGAAGTGGTGGTACAAAGGAAAACTCTTGACTCTGCTAATGAGGGAGGAGGCAGCAGAAGAAGATGAGGTGCCCTGGGTGTTTGGGCAGGCAGGCAGCCTCCTCCCTTAGAGACCCTTGAAAATATTTTCTCTCCACTTGGCGGGCAGTGGTGCTCAATGAACTGCCTGAAACCTCGGCATGAGTTTGTTGCAGGCCAACTGGATCTCAGCTGGTAAATCCTTTGGGCCTGATCTAACACCTAGTAAAGAAAATGGAAATTATCCCATTTGTTCCACTAAGTTTCACAGGTTTTTTATACATCTGCTTGTCTCCCTTTCTTCTCTCTTGTGGT